GAACAAACACAGTTCTTATAAAGACCTAAGATCACATGACTTCAGTCAATATAAAAACCAAACACATTTCATCAACAGGCCCACTTTCAGTTTGTACCTCCACGGTTTATCTCCATACAATCTTCTCCTTCTCCATAGTTGTCAGGTTGTCCATTACCCCAGTTTGTGAAGTCAAACTGGGAACCATCACTCCACTTCCACACAGTTTCCTGGAAGAATAAAGTTCAGTTTGTTCTGATGTACTTTGATGCATCTATGCTGAGAGTGCAGACATGAGACCTCTTACACCACTCGAACACAACGAAGGTTCATTTTGTTTGTGCAGGTAAAAAATGAAAAGAAAAGTCAAGTCAACAGCAACATCTGTCTCCAGGAACAAAGTCCTGATTAATCAGTCTGTCACATGTTGACCTTTGAATCAAACTGATGAATATGAAGAGAAACATATGAAATATCAGAAACAGCTGCAGCTCATCCTCTTTATCTGTGAAACACTTACAGTCTCTCTGTCGTTGCCTCCAACCCAAGCTGTTCGATACGACCCTGCTGCTGTGCGAGTGAGCTCTCTGATGAAGGTGTACTCAGCTGTGCTGTGGAATGAGGCCAGATTTCCACCGAGTGTCTGACAGGAACACTGAGGAGGAAGATGAGGTGCACAGAAGATGAAAAGTGTGAGAATGCATTTAAAATCAGTCAAAGACAGAAAGTCTTTATGTCATCAGTGATGCAGCGACAGCTGCTGTTATTTCTGATGTACCTCAGCATCAGTCCAGGTCTTCATGCTGCTGTTAACGATGAAACAGCGACCTCCAAACCAAGTCCAACCAGCAGGGCAGGAAGCATCTTCAAAATGATTGCAAAGTTAAAAGGTCGGTGAACAGATTAATGGTTCCTCAAAAGAAAGTAATTTCTCCCCATAAACTTCAGAACAGAATATGAAGAATTTCATAACAGACATCTGTTTCATTATTTTTCATGTGTTCCTAATAAACTGTCAGTTGAGTACATGCCAAAGCAAAGCAGTCGATCATCTCATGTTAGAAGGCGCTGAGCTTTAACAATGACTTTCATATTAACAGCTGGTTAATTATGTAACTGACTAACTACATCAGTACGACACTGCCTGGGTCTTTCTAAGGCCTCAGGTTTGTACAGCTTGTTGTACTTGTTAGGCGTCCCATCACACTTCTCTGCAGTTCTGATAGTTGGGTAACTTCCCTCCTTTCTGCCTCTAGTTTTCGTCTCCACTGAGGCTTCTGTTCTCGTGTTCATCTGATATTCAAGGATCCCTGTTGCTGTGTAGATCAGCTGGCTGTTTGCAGTGATGGTCACAGAAGGGATTTTATTAGTGTGCGCTCAAATATAGGACTTTGTAGGAATGCTTCAGTGTTTTCACATTTAATTAGCAAATACAAGCACATTTTTGCTTTGCACACCGCAGAGTGAAGGCAAAGGACCAACAAGCGCTCAGCATCTCTGGGAACTCCTTCAAGACTGTTGGAAAACCATTTCAGGAGACGACCTCATGGAGCTCATGGAGACAAGGCCAAGAGTGTGCAAAGCAGAAATCAAAGCAAAGGGTGGCTGTTACCAAGAATCTAAAATATAAAACATATTTTGAGTTATAATTCTACATGTTCATTCATAGTTTTGATCCCTTCAGTGAGAATCTACAATGTAAATAGTCATGAAAATAAAAAAATAAATGAATAAGGTGTGTCCTGACTATGTTGATAAATCTTTCATGCTGAAATGAGCAAATGTAACAAGTTTTACATATTTTTATGTTTTTGTAAAATATATACAAGTATTACAAAAACAAAAAACATTGTTGTTTCTCAAACTGTATTTTGGGAAAGACATTCAAATTCATGTGTATTTTCAATTAAATACGCATAAATTTTCTAATTAAATATATTTTTAAATCATCCAAGCAGAAGGCTTGGATGATTTGACATGATATAACCTGTGTCTTTGTGCTTATCTAGTCTCTTTTTTCTGACTACCTAATTTTAATATTGTGTTGATCGGAGCTCCTGTCATTTTCTGTTTTGCATTTAACCTTTTTCTTTTAATTCTGTCTAGGGCTGTGTGATATGACCAAAATCTCATATCCCGATATAAAACATCTATCGTCCGATAACGATATAAATCACATAAATGTAACATTTTCTGTAAATTCTGTGAATCTCGGGCAGCTCGACTTGCCTGAAGTGTTTCCAGCTGGGCGTCGTGTAGCTGGAGTCGAGTGTTTTAACCGATGCATGAAACGATAGATTTTTAGACACAAGTTGTAACGGCGCCGTTTCTTTGTATTTATTACACGGCGTGCTGCGGGGAGAAGCCTGTTCTAACGTTTGAGTCTAAGGTTTATTTTTTAGCACCTGGCGGCTCTTTTTTAATTCTCATCCGTAAATAATCTGCATCTTTCACGTGATTCAGTTTATTTTGAAAAGTCTCAACAGGATCTTGAGCTTTATTGTGAAAGGTTTATGTGGAACAAGCGGACACACGGTGCTGTTACCGTCGTTGTTGCTAATGACAACGCATAAAAACAGGCGCTTGTCCGTCTGTAGTGTGGTTATATTACATATAAGAGAAAGAGAGAACTTTAAGAAATGAATATAGCCACTACAGTGACCATCAAACCATGAACAAATATTGCTGTAAACCGTAACCAGGAAACAAACGACAGCGTAAAATGAAACGATCGACGTTTTTACATCGTCATCCGATATATATCGTTATATCGAACAGCCCTAATTCTGTCTGTTTGATTTTTACTTGTATGTGTCTTTAATTTGGTCAGAGGACTTTATAAACTCTCCCTTTTAATGTACTTTTATTGCAAAATGTGTTCATCTCTCAACTTCAGATTGTTATTAAAGAACTGTTACACTGATTTACTGCACCATCCTGTGGTATAAAGCGGTATCTCTGCCTTATCTTCAGTTGGTAAACACAACAGATGTTCTGTTCTCCACATTCTGTCGATGTTCAGGAAACATCAGCGAATAAAACAGAGACGTTTTTTATTTACGATGTCATTTTCATTAGCTTACTTGATAAGCTTATGAAAAAAAATTCAAATTCAAAATTTATTTGTATGGCACATTTAAGAACAACAGAGTTGACCAAAGTGCTTCACAATCAGTTAAAAACAAGAAAAAACTGTAGAGAAACAAATATACACATATGTGTGTGTGTGTGTGTGTGTGTGTGTGTGTGTGTGTGTGTGTGTGTGTGTGTGTGTGTATATTCTTATATTTTGATTTGATCTGTATTATGGTTTTACTGGAAAGCACTTTGGTCTTTAAATGTGGTATACAAATAAATTTGATATGTTATGATATGAATTGTTGACAATGTAACAATGAAAGACTATTCGCCTCACAAATATAAACCTTACGTCACTCTAATTCATTGCTCACCAGTCTAAACAAAACATTCTTCGAGATTCTGGTTTGACTTTCAGAGCTCTTAGTGGACGATCAGTGAGCCTTTACAGCCATCAGCAGGTCCCTGAGGTCATGTGATCAAGAGCTACTTATTGTACATGACAGGAGGTTGAAAACTAAAGGAGACCGAGTTTTGACCACAGTGGTTCCCAGACTCTGAAACTCTCTCCCTGTGAGCCTGAGATCTCAGTCGTGTCTTTCAAGAACCAATAAAAACTCAGTATTTAGGCATGTGTTTGGATAACTCTTTTTTTTATGCTCTGTTATTTTTTGGTGAAGCACTTTTTGATCTCTGTCTTGAAAGGTGTTTTATAAATAAACTTTTACTTACTTACTAAAGACGTTAGTAACAACAACTGAACAAAGTTTAAGCCACATGAATAATAAAATGTGGGATGAAGCTCAGTTCACATGAATTAGCCAATCCATGGTGCCCAGTCTTCCAAAAGTCCATACAGAGTCAGGCCTGTCATGTGTGAGAGCCTGGACCCTCTTCACTTTGTGTATAGAGGTTTTCCATGTGACATCATCACAGGGAGTCATATGATTGTTGAGATTTTCTCTGTTTTGTTTCTATTATTCTAAGGTCTCTACTTTTTTTATACAAAGCAACTTGAGGCAATCTGTTATTTGGATTTGGTGCTGTATAAATAAAACTGAATTGCAGCACTTTTAAAACTCAGAGGACTTTTCACACATCAAAGGAAAAACATCAGCTGGTGCAGTATTTTTTAAAGCAGGTCTAACACTGCAGCATTTAGGAGAAAACAGACTAATAGATTTTTACATTTTGTTTTGGAGTATCTATATATTGTGATCAGCATCACTGATTTCTTCATTAAATTACATTTTTCCATAATTAAATTCTATAAAAATCACAGGATTCTGTTTTTTAAGACTTTCATAAACATCATTTCAATTTGTTCACTCAGGATCTGTAAAAATAATCTGACAAGATATTCATGTCAGATTATTGAGTCTTTTTCAGCAATGACCTTTTTATGAGCACAGGAATGAATGCAGTCTAAAGGTTTCAGGTTCTTACCCTGACAAGTGTAAAACACCTCCAGGTACTTGTAGGTGCCACTACAGGGGTCTCCAAACCCTGTGTTTGATGCTCCAACAGTACAGTTGTTCTGCCTGTTACACCTGTGAATGCAGGTCAAAGGTGAGTCAGCAGAGGACTGAAGTACGTCGTGTCATCTGAGAGAAGATGGAAAGAGAGTCAGCATCTGTACCTGTTAGTTACATATTCTGTACTATTGGGACTCGAACAGAGAACATTTTTGACGTGATCAGGATTTCCATCAGGGCACGTGGTGTTGTCACGGCGACCATAATTCGCCCAGGAGACGACTATAACCTGTCCTTCACCTGAGGAAGAGTTCATGAACTGTAACCATGTTTGTAGTTCTATCAAATGAATCCACTAAAGTTACAATAAATGAGAAAAATAAATCTGACCACACTGAAGGTTCGCCTGAGATCCTTCACATGTTACATTGTGGACTGACAAAGAAACGCATCACATTAGAAACTGTAATGATTCATGTACAGATGTGACTGATTTTTAGCTGATAATCACACATGTAACAGACTCTCTGGGACGCAGGTGTAGGTGATGTCCAGGTAGGTGCAGACGCCGGGATCAGAAGCACTGATGATGTTCATATTTATGTCACACACTTTTCTTCCATCACAGCTGCAGGGACACAGAAAGCAGCTCGTTTTCAGCTTTGTTAAAGTGTTTCAGAGCTGCTGCTGTTTTTATTCAAACAGTCATTTGTTATTGAAGATCTTAAACTACCTGTTCTTGATGTGCTGAGTGCCAGTCTGAGAGCAGGTTTGTGTATCTGCACATCTGTACACAGCTGACTGCACAGTGATCACTCCCCTCTCTGTTATACACACACAGTATCAGAGAAAAGGAGAAACGACATGTAGTAAAGCAGGTTTGATGCACTTTGTGTTTTAGACCCAGCAGCTGCAGTCACATCCATAAATGTTAGTCCGACCTCTGTACACCACCACCGTGGATTTTACATCAAACCTTCTCTGATTGGTTGATTTATTTGTCATGTTAAGAGTTCCAGTGAACATCCAAGTACAAACTAAGATGTTTTATGTGCTAAAGTTTGAATGAACTGAGGGAACAGTGTCATGGTCCGGGTGAGTACAGCTGTTTTGCCTCTGAGCTGCTGTCTCCACCTTGGGGTGGAGTTACTGTACAGTGGCGTCTCCTCAGCTGTGGGCGACTGAGCTGTCAACATTTATGGACCAGCGCTCACTTCACTCTTCGCCACAAGTTCTGCTTCACCTAGTCAGTGTTGCTTCAGACAATTAACAGGTGATTGTGCAGACTGAGACTCACTGTGTTTTGCCCATAGCTCACTATCTGGGCCCACGTCCTCATGTTAGGTTTGACAGCGTTTAGTATTGAAAGTTGAATGCTTGGACATTAATTGTGCTGCGGTTTTGGGAAGGCCTGGAAGGGGACTGGTGACGGCTCCCGGGCCGGGCAGATCCCCATGCACTAAATAGGAGTGAATCTGCCCCTCACCCGGACCTAGTACTCCCTTTGTGTCCGCTCTCCGCCCGGCAACATTCGGTGATGTTTTCCTGGACACTTTCCCCCAGGCCTAGGCACTAAATCCACTCTCCTCCCGTTACAGCGCACTGAGACTCCCGGTGCATTTCCAGCGTCTCCCCTCTGTGCTCTCGAACAGAGTGTTTTTGTTTTCATGAAGGTTTCAATTACACTGATTCATAGTAGCAGTCAAGCCCTTGTTCCATGTTAGGTTTATATGCTTAGAAGACAACGTTAGTTCATAGTACGTTGCAAATCATATCTTGACGTTTTTGCTTTTGAGAATAAATCCTTGTTCATGTTTTCGTGGGCGACTCTCACGGTTACCATGCAGGTTACCATGGAAATAAAAACTGAATTTAAATGTGTGGCTGTACTTTTTTAACCAGTAACATCTGGATTACTAGAGATTTGAATGGTAAAACTGATTTTCTGTGTATGCACTCAGACCTGTCTGAGGTCAAAGTTCAGCATCATGAAGATAAACTGCCATTTTTCTCCGCTGAGATAAGAAAGCAGGCGCAGCCCGAAGGAGGATCTAGATGCAGTTTTTACCCCGACAGAAAAACATGGCAGAAAAATGTTCTGTTTTCACAGTGAGTGGGAGGCAGAGCTCTTTGCTACAACGGCTAAAGAAACGTGTGTGTGTCTCACTTGTGGGACGACTGTGGCGACGAGAAAGTGACACAGTGGAGACACACTTCAGTGCATGTCACACAAGCCTCCGTGCTAACTACCCACCTGACACACAAGCAGAAAAAGTCTGTGAGGCAGCTTTGAGCAAACGTGAGTTTTTTGAGGGGCAAGAAAACCAACCATGGAGCTGTTATTGAACAATCTGTAACCTCAACATATCAAAAACCAAGGAACCAACTGTGGACTTCAGAAAAGCTCCCAACATGTCTGATGCCACAAACATTAAGGTGGAATATGTGCAACCCTATAAATATCTCGAGACGATTGTTGATTCAAGACTGTCTCCGTGTTTGTTTTACTTAAGGAAGCTGCCTTAGACTGTTTCTCTAACAGCATTAGAGAAACAGCTTTGTCCAGGCTGCTGCTGTTTATTGACTAATCTGTAGCAACTTGCACACGTTTATCTCTTTTTAGGTATTAATGTTTTAAACACTTTATTATTTAGTAAATGTAATTTTATTAACTCTCAGCTGGCCTGGTAACGCTTTGGTGTCCCCCAGACAAGCTAAAGGAGCTGGCTGGGGAGGAGGAGGTCTGGGCTTCTCTGCTTAGGCTGCTGGTTTTTGGAGACTATTTTCCATCTTACCACAGCTCAGGCGTTGAACACTGAGGCTGCTAAAGGTGATCACTCTTCCTCTGGATATGGCCGTCACAGCAGGAGGAACGGGAAGTTGTGCTCTGATAAAGCCTGAAATCAAAATATTAAAAAACGTAATATGAGGGTAAAGCAATGGAGGGAAATGTAAAAGTAACACAGAGAAGGCCGGCCGTCTTTTTTTCTCAAAAGGTTTGATGATGTAGTGAAAAGGCTATTTGGTTAGCTAACGTAGCTGTTTAACTGCTAACAGGCAGGAACACGCTGTGTGCATTTTTTTAAGTGATTAAAGTCAGTAAAAGATTACAGAAACACAGAAACTGCATTGAGCTGTAAGTTTATTCAAATATGGTCTCTAAGCAGATTCTTACTCTGGATGGCATTACCTCGGCCTCCAGTAACGCTGTGAGGAACCTTGGAGTCATTTTTGACCAGGACACGTCCTTCAACGCACATATTGTTAGGATGCCTGGGTCGTTGACCCGGGGTTTTTGAGTTTATTATATTATTTAGAATTTCTAGTCTTTGGTTTCTTTGAGTTCTGTCTTATGGTTTATGTCTGTCTTCTCTAGTTGCTCTGTCTCCCCTGTCAGCTGTATCCCCTTGTCTAGTTGGCGTCTCTGTGTATCCTTAGCTGCTATATCCCCGTGTCCAGTGTGTCTGCCCTGGTCCCACGTCTCCGTTCCCTCTGTTGCAGTGCCTGCGAGTCTGTGTCTTTAGTTCAGACTGTGTCATGTTTCCTGTTTTATTTTGAAGGTCCTTGTCTGAGGTTAATGTATCTGGTTTCGCTTCCCCTGGTCTCGTTAGGCCTGATTTGCCCCAGCTGTGTTTCCCTCCTGTTACCCATTCCCTGATTGCTCCCTCTGTGTATTTAAGCCTTGTGTTTCTCTGTCTGTGTCGTGATCTACTGGTTTTCTAGCTGTGTGTTCTGGCAGTCCTCTGGTGTAAGTTTATTTTGATTTTCCCCCCCCGTTATGTTATATTTGAGTTTAACATTAAAGCTGTTTTGAGTTCACATCTGTCTCCGGAGTCTGCACCTTGGGTCCTATTCCTGTCTGCACACAGCCGCTCATAACACATATTAAACTAATATGTAAGACTGCTTTCTTCCATTTGTGCAACATCTCTAAAGTTAGAAATATCCTGTCTCAGAGTGACGCTGAAAAACTAGTTCATGCATTTATTACTTCCAGGCTGGACGACTGTAATTCATTATTATCAGGATGTCCTAAAAACTCCCTGAAAAGCCTTCAGCTAATCCAAAATGCTGCAGCAAGAGTCCTGACAGGGACTAGAAAGAGAGAGCAGATTTCTCCTGTTTTGGCTTCCTGTTAAATCCAGAATTCAAAATCCTGCTCCTCACATACAAGGTCTTAAATAATCAGGCCCCATCTTATCTTAATGACCTTGTAGTACCATATCACCCTATTAGAGCACTTCGCTCTCGCTCTGCAGGCCTACTTGTTGTTCCTAGAGTATTTAAAAGTAGAATGGGAGGCAGAGCCTTCAGTTTTCAGGCCCCTCTTCTGTGGAACCAGCTTCCAGTTTGGATTCAGGAGACAGACACTATCTCTACTTTCAAGATCAGGCTTCAAACTTTCCTTTTTGCTAAAGCACATTCACTAAACATTGAACGTTGGATAGATGTTAAGATCTTCTCAATATTTGGTCTGCCGGTCCATCATCTGAACTTAATCTACAATTTGGACGTCCAACCATGACCCAACCTGGACGTCAATATGACGTTTAACATTTGAACTTTGGACTTGGTAATTTTTTTGGACATCATGTGCACGTCTATGACAGGAGCAGGGAATTTACATGATTAAAAGATGTAATATATATATTTTTATTTACAAATAACATTGCTGTTATCAACATGATACACGTGAATATAAATATTTTTTTATTTTAAACCTAAACTTTGAAATAAAAACATTCTTATGTGTTAACCTGTTGATTTATTGAGAACATGTGGGGTTTTTATTTGTTATGTTACATTTTCCAGTTTTCATTTAACTGGTTCTGATTTAGTGCTCACAATGCATTTGGTCCATTATAGTAGTGATGGGACGTTATGTATCGAGGCTTCGAAGCTTGTGTCGAGTAATTGAGGGAGCGTTTCCACGATGCGCGTATCGAGGCTTGCTTCATTTATGGGAGGAGCTGAAAATGATGACGTCCGAAGCCTCGCTGCCCGGCTGTACCACGTGACTGGTTCATGAAGTGGTTTGAACTTTGCCGCGAGATATGACAGCGATATAAACCCTCAGACTTCATTCAAAATGTGGGTGTTTGATGGAGAGTTGCGGTTAGAGAGAGTTTGGAGACCGTTTGGAGGTTTATGAGAGTGAGGAGAGAAAGTCAGGAGAGAATGGAGCCAGCTAAGAAGAGGAGGATGTCCTCCCCTGTGTGGGAACATTTTGATCTTATTCCTCCCAACAAGGTATGTAAATTTCTACAGAAGATGTATTTTCATAATACTGATGGTGCAATAAAACCTATGTTAAGCTGTCTGTACTTTTGTACAAGGTGAAGTGTTTGCTATGTGCCAGGGAGCTGGGATATAACAACAACACCTCATCCATGCTTAGGCACTACAGAGCTTTGCATGAGAATAAGGGGAACACCGATTGTGGAGCAAGACCAGGTGAGCCATCAAATGCAATGATAATATAGCATGCAGTAATGTTACTAAATGATATAACAATATTATACAACTGTTATAAGTTACGTGTGTGATATTTATATTTGTGCTTTGTTCTCCTGAGGAAAGACAATAAAGACAATCTCAAATAGATGAAGACCTGGTCAGCATGGTGATCGAGGACTCCCAGCCATTTAGCATTGTGGAGGACAAAGGATTCAAAAGATTTGTTAAATCATTAGATCCTAGCTATGTTCTCCCCACTAAAAAGGTCATAAAAGCAGTGAAAATTTAGTTTTTACAGAATAAAATGTGAACAGGCAGGACTGAGGCTCAAAGCCTCAGTGTGTAGCTGTCCATACCTCAACGTTACAAAAGCACAACCACTGTCCACACCCCAACCACACCTCACCTCACAGTAAATGATCATTTCCATTTCAAGCATTTCCAAATGATCATTTCCCATACTGCCAGTATAAATATACACAGTATACTGCCATCACTACAATATAGATGTTTTACACACTCCTTTTGTTGTTGACATTTACAGGCTGTGTGCAAAATGCCACACTCTTCAAATTCATGCCAGCTATTATTTTTACGTCCAGTAGGTGTCCTACTAGAGCAAATGAAGCTTCAAGAAGCTTTGCGCTGGGGTGAACCAATTGGATGAAAAGCTTCAGTGCTTCATGAAGCTTCATCTGCCCATCACTACATTATAGGTCATGGATTTGCTGTGTGGCAGGCAGCATGTTGGACCAAAAAGCAGGACTCATAAGCAAAAGGGTTAACTAAAAGAGGCAGCTTTACTCTAGTGGCAAATAACTCACTTCAAGTACAAACCTTAACTAGAAAAGAGAAAACAAACCAGGAACTGTGACTAGAAAATGGCTGGAAACACAGAGGGTGTAAGACAACAACAGACAGAGGAAAACACAGGGCTTAAATACACCAGGGAGTAACGAGGGAATGGAAAGAAGGAGGGAAGCACAGCCGGGACTAATCTGAAATAAAGAGATAAAGGAAGCAAAGCAGAACACACTGACATAGGACACAGACTGTCAAAGTAAAACAGGAAGTACGAGGCATCCACAAAGACGCAGACTAGACAGAGACGTGGAAACACGACAGACTCTGGAACAGAGACAACAAGAAACACAGAAACAAAAGTACCAAGATGTGGGACACAGGGAAGAGAGAAAAATAAGACTACACATACAACACACGGAGAACAGAATTAAACGTTCATCAAGAACATGGAGGAGGCACAGAAACAGAAGAGACACCTAGAAACCAGGAACTACAAATAATATACAAACAGGAAACCATAATTCAAAGAGTTTAACTTCAACCAAAAACACAAACACGGGGTCACCAGACTCAGTGCCGTGACAATATTAGACTCAGTGGGCTTCTGTCAAACTGTAAAAGAACCCACTTTAATCACACTCTAGATCTTGTGTTAACATATGGCAGAGAAACTGAACACGTAACAGAGTTTCCTGAAAACCCTCTGCTGTCTGATCATTTCCTGATAACATTTACATTTACACAGCAGTGGAGAGTAGACTTTATCACAGTAGATGTCTTTCTGAAAGCGCTGTAACTAAGTTTAAGAATATAATCCACCCACTGTTATCATCTCCAATGCCCTGTACCAACACAGAGCAGAGCAGCTATCTGAACGCTGCTCCAACAGAGGTCGATCATCTTGTTAATAATATTACGTCTTCACTGTGTACGACTGTAGACACTGTAGCATCTCTCAAAAGAAAACCTCAAATCAGAGGAAGGACTTGACTCCTTGCTGTCGCTCAAACGTGCATCTAGATAACTCGCAAGCTGGAGAGGACATGGCTCCTCTGATATAAAAGATCACCAGCCTGGAAAAGTTGTTTTTGCTTTATAAAAACCTCTCTGGTGGAGAGAAATAAAAACTAGTGATATGTGAAGGTTGTTCAGTAGTTGCACAAGCAGAAGAAGAGCTCAGGTTCAATGATTAGCATGATGGAAGTATAAAGTTAACAGCAAGGCTGAGAAATATAAGAAGCAGTAAAACAGCATTTACCTGAAGTGATGAGTGAACAGGTTGCTGCCAGCACTGAAAGAGACAGAAAGAAAGCTCAGTGTCAGACTGTGTGTTTGATATCAAGTTGAATTCACCTCAAAACATGAAACAGAAATGAAAAGCAAACAGGAGAAAGCTGCTGCTTTCATTCACACCTGGATTCTTTGGAAACTCTTTCTAAACAGCAGATTTCAATGACACATTTATTCTCTTCATCTTTCCAACTTTTGTCAATAAACTTATTTGTGTTGACAGTTTGACTTCAACTCTTCAAAGTAAATGATCAGCCATGAATTGCTCTCAGGACTCTGTGAAGCCTAACTGTCCTGCTGAGGTGATGCAAACATGTATTTAGGATGTTAGATGAACTGATCCAATAAAGCAGAAAGAAAAGCATGTCACAGTACAGCACAGTGGAAAGCTAGAAAAGGATTAGACTGAACATGTGCAGCTAATTTCATGTATAAATAAAGGATGATCAGTGTGTTGTACTCACACAGTGTGCTGCTGAGTCCGGAGCAGAGCATCATGTTAGGAGATCTGGATTACAGTGAAGAGCTGATGGAGGATCAAACACAGAGCTGCTGGATTCACTCTGTTTCAGTAACACCTGTGATGTACATGCAAAGCACAGCCAATGGAAAAGCAGGACCTGTTCCTTCTCAGCTGCAGCAGGAAATAAAACTACTTTACATTAAAAGTTATGTAAGCCTGGATCAGCTGACCCAGTGACAGCTGGGAGGGGCTCGGATCATCATTTTAAACACGATTAATGGTAGATTACATTTATTTTAACATTTAATACAAATGATTGTGTTAACATGATGTAAATGATTGCAAACATGTTGTTCCAAAGTTTAGGAGCTACAGTTTGAAAATGTGATCACGTCTGGATTTAAATGAAGAGCACAGAACAGTTCAAAGAGCCTGATCAGCTCAGAGAGAAAGTGACACTCCCCTGTTCGTCAACAGCGTCCTAAAGAGGGAACAAAGAGGACGGAGACCAAGTGGACGACACAGACACACATGCAGCAACAGCTGTGGGTGTTCAACACACCAGTGTTTACAGTGGTTTAAATGGGGTGGTACAGCAGGTATTTATGACGGCTATTTAATGATTCACTGGATGTTACTATAAAACACACAGGTCCATGATATGAATGTAACAGACAGGCAGGAGCACAGCTGAGAACACATTTGACTGGAAAATATTCTGCTTTGCATGAAACATCTCCACACGTCTCTCTGTTCAGAGACCACAGAGGAAGTGGATTCATGGGAAAACACCAGAAACTAAAAATGAGCTTCAAAAACATTCAGAGTATTTAGAAAGAAGTCTTTCTACTGACTGCTGAATTAGTTCCTGATAAACACAACATGTCATTGTGCAGCAGCGACAGCATCATGCAAAAGGTTTGGAGCACAGACAGAACAGGACCTTCATAAACACCCAAATCATCATCCAGGAAACCTGAAACTGAAAAAGCCATCACACCTGTGTTTGAGTGTTGTTCAAGCTCACCATGAAGGACTCTAATATGTCTTCTGAAAACAGATTTGATAAACAGTTTTTTCAACATCTGAGATGTAAATGGATTTCTGAAAGAGTGGCCTTTCTGCGACAAATGTCTTGACCCCAACCATGTAACTGTTCAGTTTTATTTATAGCGCTCCATGACACAAAAGCAGGCACCTCGAGGTGCTTTACACTGTGAAGTAAAGAACCTACAATAATACAGAGAAACCCCAACAATCAGACGACCCCCTAAGAACAAGCACTTGGTGACAGTGGGAAGGAAGAACTCCCTTTAAATAGGAAGAACTCTCCAGGCTCAGGGAGGGGCAGACATAACGACCTGTTGATGCCGAGGGGAGGAACACAGGACAAGGACACGTGTGGAGCCAGAGATGAATAATCACAACTAATAATTAAGTGCAGAGAGGCGTATAAACACAGTGAGTGAAGAAGCTGGCAGCAGCCCAACTATACTGTATATGCGATCACTTCTCTTCTCTTTGCACTGCTCCTGTTTCCATGTTGTTAGAATGAGCTTACCTGAAGTGCTTTATTACTCTGCCTTATATTAATCTCATATTACTCAAACCTGCCATATAATCATGTGGCGTAGTGTTCCATGGACACAGCGCTGAATAGACTCTCGCCCATGTTTGCCTGTAGAGCAGTAGATAAGAGGGAACCATCTTGTAGTGGAAACTTACTGAAGTGCTGTTGTTGAGACTAGAATAGGGTGCCCAGTAATGGTAAATGGCCTGTATTTGTATTTTACTCGTCCCTAAGGACCCAAAGCGCCAAAGCCATCACCCATCCACACACTGGTGATGCTACATTGTAGCCACAGCCACCCTGGGGCACACTGACAGAGGCGAGGCTGCCGGACACTGGCGCCACCGGGCCCTCTGACACAACGACCGAGACTGTCCGAGCCGGGGCTCGAACCGGCAACCTTCCAATTACAAGGCGAACTCCCAACTCTTGAGCCACGATCGCCCCCGATTGGTAGTGAAACCGTCAGGTGCCAGTCACCATTTTCAGATCCGCAGCAAAGTGTCAGAACAGATAGTGAGGAACAAAGGTCCACTAAGTGCAGTTACTGTTTATAAAGGTGGTATTCAGATTACAGCTACTTTGTTGAAATAAATGGATTACATGGCGGTCTTTTCCTGTTTCATATGTTCGGCTATGCTCTCTCTATTTCTGGTAATTCCAAGCTGGTGGAAACCCAAACCAAACACACATGAAGAGGCTCTAATGACGTGTCTCAATCTCGCGGCCCATGTCACCTCTATTTGCATAATGACGTGAAGAAATATTTTTAAAATTATTATTCAAAAAATCATTTAATGTGAAGGCAACAGGCAGAGTGTTACGGGTATGACAGTCCATTCATTTAATCTGTTGTTGTATATGTGCAGCACTTTGTGATCTCTGGTTTTGTGTTAAAGTGCTTTATAAGTAAAGCTGGTAAAGTTGCAAAAAAAGATAAATATATAATTTTACACAAATACGATTAAGCTTATTCTTTTCTTCAGATTTAAACATAACTGCGTTATCAGCATCAGGTGATGAGATCCCAGCATCAGAAGTACTGATGGTGTATTTATGTCACACAGGTTTTTCCATCACAGCTGCAGGGAGACAGAAAGCATTTTGAGGTTTATTAAAATGATCAGATGATGATTTGAAGCATGAATGACTCACTTTCAGGTCAACATTTCAGTTCCTTTAAATTTTATTGAATTTATTTTCCTGTTTATTGTGATATGAAATCATATTTATCAACAGAATCCAGCAGTGATGTCATCGAGGCTTGACATCCTGCTGGAAGTGACATCAGCAGTGAGGCTGTGACATCATCATGTCAGACGTGTCAGGACACGAAGGAGCAGTTATGGACCTCTGACACAAACAAACCCTCTCTGTGAGTTACATCTTTGGTCGTTGACATAATCTCCTGTAAAGAATCAAAACAAAGAAATAAAATCAGAGGTCTGTGCAGTAAATGTTTTCTTCTTCTCTAATGTAAAAAGAACAAACACAGTTCTTATAAAGACCTAAGATCACATGACTTCAGTCAATATAAAAACCAAACACATTTCATCAACAGGCCCACTTTCAGTTTGTACCTTCACGGTTTATCTCCATACAATCTTCTCCTTCTCCATAGTTGTCAGGTTCTCCATTACCCCAGTTTGTGAAGTCAAACTGGGAACCATCACTCCACTTCCACACAGTTTCCTGGAAGAATAAAGTTCAGTTTGTTCTGATGTACTTTGATGCATCTATGCTGAGAGTGCAGACATGAGACCTCTTACACCACTCGAACACAACGAAGGTTCATTTTGTTTGTGCAGGTAAAAAATGAAAAGAAAAGTCAAGTCAACAGCAACATCTGTCTCCAGGAACAAAGTCCTGATTAATCAGTCTGTCACATGTTGACCTTTGAATCAAACTGATGAATATGAAGAGAAACATATGAAATATCAGAAACAGCTGCAGCTCATCCTCTTTATCTGTGAAACACTTACAGTCTCTCTGTCGTTGCCTCCAACCCAAGCTCGTGTATACGACCCTGCTGCTGTGCGAGTGAGCTCTCTGATGAAGGTGTACTCAGCTGTGCTGTGGAATGAGGCCAGATTTCCACCGAGTGTCTGACAGGAACTCTGAGGAGGAAGATGAGGTGCACAGAAGATGAAAAGTGTGAGAATGCATTTAAAATCAGTCAAAGACAGAAAGTCTTTATATCATCAGTGATGCAGCGACAGCTGCTGTTATTTCCTGATGTACCTCAGCATCAGTCCAGGTCTTCAAGCTGCTGTTAAGGATGAAACAGCGACCTCCAAACCAAGTCCAACCAGCAGGGCAGGAAGGAGCTGCAGCATGATTGTAAAGTTAGTAGAGCAAAGGTACATGAAATTATATGTTAACATGTTGTTCAACATAAAAACAATGTGTAAGAATCCAACATTCAGATTCAGAAAACTTTATTGATCCCCGAGGGGCAATTGAGAGACTGACCTTGCCGACCGTACATACAATACACAAACACATGAAGTTGAGAACGGAAAATGTTTTATAGACGTGCTTTATCTTTGCTCCTAATGAATCAGCATCTGAGTCCACGTCAAAGAGAAGTATCCAGTCCTCTCATTCTAGCTGCTGGTTCTTTAACTGACTGACTACAGCAGCAGTGATTATTTAGTGTGACACAAGCAGCAGTTCAAGTGTAATTTATGAGCAATTAAATCTGATTAATACGGAATTGATTCTGATTTATTCTCAAGAACTTTCTGAAAGCTGTGATTTCAACCCGTTCACTCAGGATCTGCAAAAGAACTGAAAACGTTTTCATGTCTGATAATTTCAGTGACTTCTTTATAACAGAAATATGAATTCTTTAATAATGATTAATAATTATCTGTACGTATAATTGAATTCACAGAGTCATGAAGTTTAAAGTTCTTACCCTGACAGTCATAAACCACCTCCAGGTACTTGTAGGTGCCGCCACAGGGGTCTCCAAACACTGTGTTTGATGCTCCAACAGTACAGTTGTTCTGCCAGTTACACCTGTGAATGCAGGTCAAAGGTGAGTCAGCAGAGGACTGAAGTACGTCGTGTCATCTGAGAGAAGATGGAAAGAGAGTCAGCATCTGTACCTGTTAGTTACATATTCTGCACTACTGGGACTCGAACAGTGAACATTTTGGATCTGAGAGACAGGACGACCATGAGAGCATGTGGTGTTGTCACGGCGACCATAATTCACCCAGGAGACGACTATAACCTGTCCTTCACCTGAGGAAGAGTTCATGAACTGTAACCATGTTTGTAGTTCTATCAAATGAATCCACTAAAGTTACAATAAATGAGAAAAATAAATCTGACCACACTGAAGGTTCGCCTGAGATTCTTGACATGTTACACTGTGGACTGACAAAGAAACGCATCACATTAGAAACTGTAATGATTCATGTACAGATGTGACTGATTGTTAGCTGATAATCACAGATGTAACAGACTTGCAGGGACGCAGGTGAAGGTGATGTCCAGGTAGGTGCAGACGCTGGGATCACAGGTACAGACCATGTTTGTATTTATTTCACACACTTCCTTCAAGTCACAGCTGCAGGGACACAAAAAACAAATTTCTAGGTTTGTTGAAGTGATCAGTTCATGGTTTCTAATATCTGCTGCTTTCATTTGAGCTGCTGGTGCTTTTTATTGTAATCAAAGCAGTTAAACTATCCGACAGTGTTCACCTTTTCTTGATGAAGTCCAGATCGTGAAGCCGAGAGCAGATTTCTTTATCTGCACATCTGTACAAAACTGACTGCACAATCATCACTCCACTGCCTGTTACACACACAATGAGACAAAAGGAAAAATGAAATGTTAATATCAATAACGCAGGTTTAAGACACTTTGGCTTCACTTTACAGACTCAGAAGTGTCAGTCAGATCCAAAATGCTTCTGCTCTTGGCTCTTGATGGAGGCGGTCACACTTTCTCCCTCTCCCTTATCTTTCCTGCTTGGCTTCTCATGTCCTTTGTATAGTCTTGGATATTCTCTAACCTTAAGAGAGTCTCAAAGACTTGTTCTCTGAAACATAAAGAAGAATTATGGATTTGATCCCACCCTCCTGGGCTTGGGAGAGCCTGATTGTCCTGCAGAGACGTTTGCTGTCGGATACTCGATGGTCGGTTGCGTCGTGTGTCTGGTGACACTCTTGATGGAGGACACTGAACGACATCTACCAATTTGGAGCCACGGTAACAGAGTTGTGGCTGATTGGAGCCGGCTCGGCTTATCAAAGAACAAGAAGCAGCTACAGCTGTTCAAAATCCCACAAAGCTGGCCGACATGATGGACGATGGGCAGGGCTGTGAGTACTCAGACTGTGTTTTTTTTAACGCAATATGGATAACATCTTGAAGAAGAACAACGAGAAGAGACCTGGTGACCAATGATGGCCATTAGACCAGCTGTAAAATTGGAAGCAGTTTGTTCGCATTGACCAAAACAACTACCATCTTCATCTCATGCAGCCCCCCTGGCGCCAGCTGGATGATCAACTGAGGGGAATAACAAAATTGTCTCTTAGATAACAAGATGTGTTGTGACTCTCCCTCCTCATTCAAGGCCACCCGCGTGGAAGATGGTCACCTTTGAGCGGGAACATCACAGATGTAACAAAACATTAAAATTTCATTGAAACAAATAATCATCACTTTTATAAGTTCAAGTGCACAGTGTGGAGGATGTCATAAGGCCTTGAGGCAATCAAATGCAAAGCACAATATTTATCAGTGTTGGTCAGATTTGACCCAAACATCACGCGAAAGTTTGAATATAATTCTTTTATTAAACTTCATGATTTGAAGCTGAGAGTCTGCACTTCAGTCACATCCTGACTGTCCAATTTAAGATCCACTGTGGTGATGTACGGGAGCAAAAACAAGTCACTGGGCATATTCTTATGGACCTGACTTTACATCCAGCTTTAACGTACAAACTACACCCTTCTTACCACAGCTCAGCTGTAGGACACTGGGGACGTTAAAGGTGATCACTCTCCCTGTGGATATGGCCATCACATTGGAAGGTAAAGAGAGCTGGGCTCTGGTAAACCCTGTAATAAAAACTGAATGCATAAATATAATTTTATACATATTTTCCAGTACAGCAGCATTAACAAAAACAAACTAGACTATCAATATATGTTAGGATATGAGGAACAGCACAATATATACAAGTCACCAAGTAATAAATACTCAGGGTTGACAGATATGATTATTAATAAATGTCAACAAATTAACTGCCACATTACAGAGTAAGAAAGAGTGTCTGCAAAACTATTGCAGTGTTTACGTGGTATTAAATGGAGGAGTTGTACAGAATAATCTCAGTCTCCCACTGAGCGACTACTTTTAATTAACTGCTTTAGCCCACTTACAATGGAAATTTAAAAAAATCTTGTTCGTGACCTGTGTAGCATGTTAACACTATTGGAAGGAAAAATAACTTGACTCTCTCTCCTCCTGTCTGAACCTCTGTGTACTTCCTGTTTTACTTTGACAGTCTCCCGTCAGTGTTGCGTTTACTCCTGCCTTGTCTTGTTATGATTATCAGTGTCACCTGTGTTCCCCGTGTGCTCTCCCTTTCCCTTGTTAACCCTCTGTGTATTTATGTCTGCGTCTCCCTCATTCATGGCCGTGTGTTTCTCCGTCTATTACGTTATAGTTTCCCAGTTTAGTTTGTATGGTTTTCCTCTCCAGCAATAAAGCTGTGAAGTTTGAGTTCATTCCTGCCTCCGTGAGTTTGCGATTGGGTTCTCATCCAGCCTGCACACAGCCGAAACATGACACATGGTTGAAGTCACCAGAGATCACCATGGAGGCACTTGGGTGCTGAGTCTGTAGCCGGACTATGGCAGAGTGGATAGTGTCACATGCAGCGGTGGGGTTAGCAGAGGGAGAAACATAGACAGCCACCAGGATCACATGGGTAAATTCCCTGGGCAAACAATACGGCCTGAGTCCAACAGCACACAGTTTAATTTCCGGGCAGCAAATCTTTTCTTTGATTATTAAGTGGGCAGGGTAACACCACCGGTTGTTAACATAAACAGCAAGCCCACCTCTTTTCCGCATACTGCTCCCAGTGCTATCCGTGTCCGCCTGAACAGTCAGAAGCCTTCCACAGATACGTTGTAGTCATGAATATCCTGGTGCATCCATGATGCACTCCCGGTATTCCCTCTAACTGCTTACATGCACTGTCAGCTCCTAATTTTTATTTGATAAAGAACGAGTAGCGCCCATTATGATAGATGGCAGACACGGTTAGTACCTTCTCCTCAATTCGAGCCACCGCTCTCTCACAGCTTCTTTCCTTCTCCTTTTCTGTCCTCCACCTCTGCATCTCCGATGTGTTTTCCTCCAGATTTCAGCTGGTACATCTGTGGGTCTGAGCGATGAGCCAGCATCAAGGCGATCAGCTGATTTATAGAGTAAACAGCCCAAGTAGTATGTAGGAGTTGTGCCACAGTCCCGTTCCTCGATAAAAGTAACAGTTCTGGGTCATTTTGACCCAGCATTTTGAGTTTCTTATGTTTTGGTTTATTTTTGAAAGCTGGATTGTCTTTCATGTTTCTCTGGTGCTTTGTTGATTTTTATGATGACTCTGTGTTTCAATTCTGGTATGTTTCTGTATTATGATTAATGTTCTGGTTGTATTTTGTTATTATTGCAGGTTTAGTTCAGTGTCTAGTCTGTCTCACTCTGTTGAGTCTGTCCTAGTAACGTGTGTCTTGTTTCCTGTTTTACTTTGAAGGTTCATGTTCCTGTCTGATGTCAGTGTTTCTGTTTTGCTTCTACCCTGTCTCGTTAGTCTAATTTCTCCCAGCTGTGTCTCCCTCCTGTTGCCCATTCCCAGAATACTTCCCAGTGTATTTAAGCCCTGTGTTTCTCTGTGTCAGTGTCGTATCCTCTTTATGCTGTGTGTTTGCCTCCTGTGCATGTTTAGTTTCTTTCTTAGTTTCTTACCCCTAAGGGTACATCTGTCACCATCTTACAATGCTGTGATTGCAGCCATTCCCTAACTCTCTGTGAATGGGACTCATGACCATTGATCAAGATCAGTGGTCTTTGATCAGTGGTTGTTGATCAATGGTCATGAGAATTTGCATATTAATGATGAAGGAACTGACCTCCCAGCCCATTGTTCCTTCAGTGGGCTGGTTTCAGTCATTATGCAAATGTCCTGTTTATAAGATTGAAACATGCAGTCAGCTGAGACTGAAGACGTCACCTGGATGATGACGAAACGTTTCTCCCACAAAACGCTACGTCCAGATGAACAGAATCAACTTTTGGAGATTTACTTACCTGGATGATTGACAATGCATCAAGACAAAACATGAGAACTAAAAACGCTGGGTCGAAACGACCCAGGACCATAACATTAAGTATCTGTGAATTATGAGCAAACACTACAACTTTTACCTGAAGTCATGAGTAAATACGCTGCTCCCAGCACTGAAAGACACAGACAGAAACATCAGTATTGGACTGTGTGTTGAATACAGAGGATTTATTCAACTTAATTTCAGCTTCATTTAAATAGTACCAAATAAGAAGGAACACACACATGTAAAGGAAGCACTCAAAACATGTGTTATCCTAAATGGGCGTTCTTAAAGTCAGCAAAGAGGCACAGAAAAGAAGATCAGACACCAGCGAGGGAGGATAAGAAGGACAGACGCAACAACATTGTCATCCCCTATGTAGCCGGTGTATCAGAGAAACTCAGGAGAGTTTTCTCCAAGCACGACATCCCAGTGTATTTCAGACCCAGCAACACACTCAGACACAAACTGGTTCACCCGAAAGACAAAACACCAAGACACAGACTTAACAATGTGGTGTATGCTGTACAGTGCAGCGAGGAATGCTCATACCTCTACATTGGAGAGACCAAACAGCCACTTCACAAGCGCATGGCACAACACAGAAGAGCCACCTCCACAGGACAAGACTCAGCAGTCCATCTGCATCTTAAGGATAAAGGACACTCTTTCGAGGATGCCAATGTTCACATTTTGGACAGAGAGGACAGATGGTTTGAAAGAGGAGTGAAAGAAGCATCTATGTCCACTGTGAGCAACCATCTTTGAACAGAGGCGGGGCTTACGGCACCAACTCTCTGCCATCTATAATCCAGTTTTGAGATCCCTTCCCAGACGCCTTAATACTCACTCACATCCTGGGCCATCTGACCTCAGGAATTCGCATGATAAGGTGGGGCCAGGTTTCACAATGAACACACCCGAAACTCTGGCTGATTGGGACCCACACCCAGTTTCACACCTTGGCTCAGGCGATTAGAGGATCATCAGGGGTCCTTTTGTCCCTCTGTGGGGGGAAACTCCCACTAGGTTTATATCTGGGACTCTCCACCATTTGACCTTAGAACTGAAGAAGCTTCTCGGATGAGAGGTGAAACGTCTTCAAGCAACTTAAAGAAGTCCAGACGCTTTTCTTTGCAAGCTCCTTTGACAATGAGAGGTGGTGGATTGGCCAGATGCAGGTCGATGTGTAAAAATAACTCAGTTGTTTGGTGGTGGCTATGGCGGGGCTTCCACAGAGGCCAGCAGGTGGATGAGGGAAGGGGAGGCAGTAGGAGAGACCCGAGGCAGCCGCCAGTCCGAGTGTCAGGTGAACTGAACTTCAGGTAAGAAGTTATGACCTGCAGTCCATCTGGGTTAGATATAAACCAAGTTTAGGTGGAGTTTATTTTCGTTATGCTGACTTTTTACCGTCAGTTGCAATAACTCGTACTGCGTTCTAGCCAGCTTGATGGAGTTTCTATACAGCTGGGTGGGTGCTATGATGTTACTGATAGTGAACTTTATTTTATTCATACGTTTAGTTAGTAGAGTTGCCAACGGCTCCTTAAAAAAATGGAATGGTCCCTCAATCAGAGAAAATATTACACGTTTCATATTGAGCTGAGAAGAGACGCAGTTTGTCCCGGATTTTAGTTAGAATGGAAAAAGACACAAAGCTGGAGTTATTCTGTGTTTACGTTGCACAGCTGCCTCTTCTTCTCTCGTTCTCTCCCCCCCTCCCTCTCCTGTTGCTACTTCAATCATGAAAACTGATCAGTGATCAGCTGATCGTCTCTCTTGTTTGTTTATCGCCCACTTTGCGCCGAAAGAGGAAACCAGCGGATGTCGCGCTAAACAACAGCAGCACGTTTAAGCTTGATCAGCTGTTGTTAGAATGTATTTAATATTAATTTCTAGTATCAGCTGATGTTTGCTGGAGCCACAGCTGTAAAGCTGCTGGTCATGATGTCGGTTTGGTTATGTGGTGAGAGGGAAACATGAAGATGAAACCAGGAGATGTCCTTACTGAACCATCAGAGCTGAACAGGTGATGGAGGAACAGGTTTACCTTTTAGGTGACAGGAATGAGTTGAAGTTATGAACTGTTTCTGAGAGACTAATAACACCAGCATCCTTTTTTTTTATGTAGCTGACAGCTGGTAACTGTGCAGGGGCGGGTCTAGCAAAGTTTTGCCAGGGGGCCAGGTAGGGCATTAACAGGGAGAGGGGGGGCACAAGGAAATACTTCTCTTTCTTATTCTCATTTAAAATGTCTAGCTTTTATTAAATAATTATCTAAATCTTACAACCAAAGTTTTTATCTGACGTAAAATGTATAGGAATCATACATATACCAACAAGACTGTACATCACTGTCACAACAGCGTTTGTTTTCATTCAAAGTCTTTATGGCTTTACTACCTGGTGGGTCGGTCTCTAGTCAAAATGCCCGATTTTCTGTCCCAGTCCAGCCCTGCAGGTTAATACTGGCAGTGTCACCATGCCAGCTGACTGTATTTCATCATCAGCCAGTGTTGTTCTTTATCAATATTACCAAAGTTTACCATAAGGCAGCATATAAAGTATTTACTTGCTTTCAGGTTTTATTCAAATGTTAGTCTTTTCATTTGTTTCCCCACTTTTTACCTGTTTCAAAATCAAACACCAGTTTGTGAGAAGATTATCTTCTTTTTTTAACAGGCAGAGAAAGTTTTGCATTGGCTAATTTGTGAATTGTTTGT